AAAAAAAAAAAAAAAAAAAAAAGAAAAGAAAACTATTCTCGTAGTTTTGAAACGCATTAAGGATAATACTTATGAATCATTCGTTCTTCTTTGAAAGTCTTACTTTGAGTTAATGGTTCTCTGGATTAGAAATGGACGCAGAATGGATTGGAAGCAATTGTAAAGAGATTAGGATAATGGGTCACTTTAGAATTTACTTTTTGAGAGATATTGGGGCTCTATCTTGTATAAGATATTGTAAATCTGAATTGTATTTTTAAATTAATTGGATTGGATGGAACAAGCTTGCACCATTAATAATTTTGAATGGATTATTAATAATTTTTTAATACAGGTTGGAGGATACACGACACCCTTCGTCGTCCTGGGATCAGCTTTATTCACAACCGCGGTCATGACCATCTTCATCCTACCAGTTCATTCCAACAGCAATCAAACTAATCCCAATACAGTGGGTGAGTGGAGTTCAAGAATTTTTAATGCATAATGATTGGTCAATGCGATTTAAAAATATTTTTCCAGGTGTGAAGAAAGCTTTGAGAATTCCAGGCGTATTGATCGCCACGTCCTCCATAATAGCGACCAGTATGAGCATAGGATTTTTGCAAGCAACCCTGGAGCCTCATTTAAGGCAATTTGACCTGAGTCCTATCGTTCTAGGCTTGATGTTCGTGATCAACGGCGGCACTTACGCCATTACCGCCCCCGCATGGGGGTGGCTCTGTGACAAGCATTCGCATCCGAAAGTAATTATCGAAATACCATTCTCTGATTAATCATCCTTTTAATCTTGATCCCGAATAAAGATACGAAGATTCGGCGATTTTCGAAAAATTGTTTTCTGGAAACTAGCATGAGATATAGAAAATTGAGGAATTTGAAAAATTTTTTTTAGGTAGCTACCGTAGCCGGATGCATTCTCGTGGTAATAGGATTTATCTTAGTCGGGCCAGCACCTTTTATACCATGCCCAACTCTACTCTGGATGACGATCTGCGGTTTGGTTGTTCACGGTTTAGGTATGGCTGCACAACTGGTTGCCAGTTTCACGGATGCTTTGAGGACGTCGATGTACGTTTGATCATTAGTTAATTCAATTATTAATATTGTAATGATATCTAATGAAATCACGAAGATGGTAATAGTGAATTTTTCGAATAATTTTTTCCTATTAACGTTTTAGACAATACGGATTCCCAAATAATTTAGAGACCTACGGTCTGATCAGTGGATTGTGGACAAGCACGTTTGCGCTCGGAGCCTTCATCGGGCCCAGCGTGGCAGGAATTTTATTGGACAATATTGGATTCAGAAATGCTACCATGTTCATCGTGCTGCTTCACATGCTAGTGGTAAGCGTTTTTCGTTTTTAAATCACCATTTCATGTGAAATTTTCGATAATTTATCAGAAACTTTTATTTATCCGGTTTTGGATTAATATTATAATGAATAATGAAAGTGGCGAAGAAAGAAATTTTTGGAAATTTAGGAATAATTTATGCAAAAAAATTGGCTCTCTTATCGTTCGAGCTCATCATATATCTTCAATTAAAATAATTATTGTCGTTACAGAAAACTTTCTTTAGACAATTAGCAACTATTATCATGATCAGGAAAATTAAATTTAAATATTTCTGTATTTTACGATCCATTGATGAATCATAACAGGCAATATACCTTCCAATTCATCTATCGATATTATTATTCCTCCATTCCTTTCTTTAATTCCACGATATCCCAATTCACACATCCAGATGATCGTTTCCACACGTATAACAATATTTCTTATCTTCACCGCAACAAAAGAGGCCTTATTCCATCCCTATCTAATCTGACCAAGTTTCGACCACCTATAAACATCTCTCTCACATTTATCTCTATATCTATATATACATATATATATATAGGGCGCAATGGCAGCTGTGTTCCTGAGCACGTGCACCCTGAGACACAAGCCTTACACAGAGATCAACGCCACGGCGGAGGATCCGAGGACACCTTTGACGGACAGTTGCCAATCGCGAAGCGGAAGCTATCGCCACCCCTCGGCCAGGGGAGGGCAGGGCGTGCCGATCGTGGACAGGCCGAGCGGCATGAACTCCTTGATCGTTTGCAACAGTTA